CCTTTATTTAGTCTGTATGTTAAAGATCACAATAAACACTTTGTTACTTTAACACCACATGTTTAAAAAATATTAAATTCTGTAAAAGGTTAGAATTTAACCCTAAAGAATTAAATATTTTCAATAACTCACCCAAGGAAGAGAAGACAAACAATGACATGAAGGATGATGTTTATCAAATGATAACTAAAGGGCTCAAGCTCACTTATAAGATAGTTCAACCGGAATGTTAGGACACACAAGGGTCTGTAAGACTTATGGCTATGCTCCTAACAAAAAAAAAAAAACAAAAAAAATTAATGGGACAAGGAAAACATTTATCAGACTTATGGAACAGTTTGTAAAAATCATAACAGTTAAAATAATTTTAAATGGCTTAACGGAAAACAACAGTAATGTGCAAGACAACTGTATTGCGTATGTAAATAGTATTACCAAAATCTTACAAACAGAAAGCTTCAGGGTTATGGGTTGGCTTCTGTAAATTATATACAAAAAACTTTTATTTAACTTCAATGGTAAATGACAGTTACTAACCTGGCATATAGCTCATTTAAAGCTATAAAGATGAGTATAAATGGCAAATATGATCTTGAGCATTAGTAAGTATCAAGATTTAATAAATTAAAACCTGGAAGATACTACAGATAATGCAAAATAAAAATCAGTTAATTAAAACTTTTACTTTAGATCAAAATTGCTATTTTCTACAGCTTTTATAAACTTTTATGAATCATCAAGCTGTGCTGAAATATTTACACCAATATTTATTCAAAAAGCAATAATTTATTTGAACATATATGATAAAATTAGCAGATTACATTTAAGCATAAACTAAAGGTCAATCTACATTTATGTTAATTATGAATTTCAGTTTCCTGGTTACCTAACACATATTGATTAAATAAAATTTTATAGTGTATAGAATAACAGAAAAACCTATTTATCCATTTCTAAATTATCATACAATAACATTTAGTAACCAGATTCACCAATGAAGAATTCTCACACACAGATTTTGAAATGACCCCTAGTCACTCTGCTAAATTTTGTTTCAAGCAATACACACACACCTTACTGTCATTTATTTAGTTAACAATTTTCAGAAGTATATCAGTCCTGACAGTACTCAATTAACTTATGCTTAGAATTTACTGAAGAAACAGCTTTAAACTGGGTGAATACTCATAGACGAAATGTACTTTTTCTGATACAAAACTAAAGATGAAAATTTCCACTCTACTATACAACACATTTAAGTCAATCAGAAGTTTCACAGAATACTAAAAGAAGGCATGTCTTACATCACAGAACTAAAAACCTTAAAACTAGAATAATCAAGATATTATTAGTTATGTCCACTGATGGTAAAGGACTGTCAATTGACATTTTTAAGTTACTATATAAATGGTTTTGATACACAGCTAAAATCAGTGACACTTCTTTCTGACTGTAAAACATGCTTGCTGTATTCAGTGTGATGAATTACAGCTACTTAAACCATTCTGTTAAACGTAGTTGCTAGGGATGTAGGGTTATATTTTGAGCAAAGAAAGTGTCTTCAAAAAAAAGAAAAACTAATAAAATTTCAACAGGTTGCAGCATGTAAAAACAAAATATCTTATATATATTACGAATTGTGGTGTCTGTCTGAGCGCTCTTCTGTCTCCCGTTTGAAAAGTTCCGCACGCAAAGCTCAACATTCACTTTTCAAATGACGGGAGAATAGGCATGAATAATGTTGATGCCAAATTTTATTTCGCAAGCAGGATATTCTATATTATATTGTTAGGAATTAATTCCACTATCATTCACATTTCAAAATGTGACTTCAAAAATAAAAATGTAGATTTACGGTATGTTATTGTTGAGCGGCTCTTAACATGGTTGAACAATTACTTTTCGCGGTTGGCGGAATAAGTAGCTCAGAGCTTTGGTTCTGAGTGAAATTAAGAGTGCAACACAATTAACCCTTATAAAGTCTATGAAATAATTTAAATTGACAGATTAACTTAAACTTTTCCCATCACTGGGGACGGGTACTTTTTGCTTGTGATTTGATAAGTATAATGTTTACTCAGTATCAAAATATTTATCACACTTATTATTAATTACAACTGCTTAGTAGTACTTTATAGTAAAACAGCTTATATTTTGTGTTCTTACTATATTATAAACTAACATTGTTTGCTATGGTAACAACGTATTTTCGTAGTTACACGTTTATGTTGTAATCGTACAATTATGTCACTGACATAACTAGTACGTTTATATTCTTTAAATTAAATAAAAAATCTTGCTTTTCTACAGGTTTAGCTTTTTAACGCATTTCAATAAATGTGTGTCTGTATATATTCTAGTTCAAAGATTAAGTATAAAAATTCACAATTTAGAGTTATAGGATCTTTCAAATTAAAAATGTATTTCACACGAGCTTCCCAATAAACTTTTTAAGCAAAGCTATTTCAAACGTCTTTACGATTCGTCGTCTTTAAAAATATTCATTAAGTTTTGAACATGAAACCTGACAGCATGTGTTTAAAATCACAGACAGCTACAGCATCAGTTTTTTATTGTTTGTGTATGGTTTATATATACAGGCTGACCTAAATTAGAAATTAATTAACTATTATTTTAACACCGACTTCTAGAAAGGAAATGCAGTGATTAACTGTGACCAAAAGTAAGGAACAGAGTTCAGCAGTTAGGGTTCAAGTTGAAAAGAAAACCTGTTTCCTAAGTATACAGGTTCGGTCATTTTGACCGACAAATGCACATGTCACGACCTTTTAAAGTTACAATTAAAATTTAATGAAACAAGTTTATTCTCAATGCATGTTAATAAACTTGGCGTCAAAACGTAGTTTATAATTCAACTTTTAATATCACAAAGTTTTAATTCTTTAATTTTAAATAGGAATATTCAAATAAATTTTCAATCTTCTCTGCATCATGTAATTAGGTAGCTCCGAATTGCCAATTTTAGATGTTTTTTCAACCTCTACGTAATTTCCTAATTTTCCGAGAAATTTCACACTTATAATAGAAATTTCCGAGATAAAAAGTCAATTTGTAGCCCCCATTCTTCTTATTTTACCGAGATATAAATAATAAAGTTAAACCCTCCTAGTACACCCTGTCTACATTTGCTATTGGATAATTTCTAAGTAACAGAAAGCGATGATTTCAATTTACTGGATGCTATGAGACCTGGAGTCGATGAGATAACCAGTTTTGAGAAATCTGCTGTCGTTTTTATTGTTTTGCCAGAAGAACTCTGCTTGACTATGTATGGAAATTATTCAACCCATTTCTAGTTTAATTAAAAAGGCAGATAAATTATTTTAGTTTCAGCACATTCTTATTTATATGCGTAGCAATATTTTGTATTCTAATTGTGTATTTGAAATTTAAAAAAATAACTTCCGTGCCCACACTATTCTTGCTAAGAAGTACGCCTAGTGCTGACATGAACTTTATCGTACGAGTACAAAAGCTCGAGAAAAAGGCAAGATTTCCGAAGTAACTAAATTGTAACCGCACAGTATTCCTGAACTCCCGATAATCCGAAGTTTTTGTTTTTCGCGATATAAGTCAAACTAAATGAAGAAAGAAATTCGTAGGTTCATAACAAATAAAAAGTGTAAAGGGTAGATGTTGGTGGGGGGTTCAGGGAATCAGCCGCCCCTGACGACTAGCTATCGTTTTAAATACAAACAACAAAAATATTGGAATTGTCATTGTAGTCTACAGCTGATTGCATTGGATCGATGTCAAGATAATTTTACTGACTGGAAGCTTTCAACATGTTTAATGAGTTGAGGATATTAACATTCGTTGTCACAACACTATGGAATAAGAATCTTGAAAGTCCATTATCTCAGAAGAACTAGGTGTGTAAATAAACGGGCTATGCAGCTAACACTGTACATGCACATAAGAAAATAACTTGCGAAAATGGTAAACATTATCCACCCATTTAACATTTTAACTATAAAAAAAAGTAACTAAAATGTAAAAATTAGAAAATCACTAGGTTGTATAAAAAACCTTAAATTAAATGAAGTAAAGCAAATATTGTGTGTCATTCTTGGTAAATGGACCTTTATTTAAACAAAGCTATTCTGCGTAATAAATAGCTATAGCCGTACTCTGAGTAGGTCTAGATGCAACTGTAAAGTCAAATCAAATGGAAATTATTAGCGTTGGCCGTAAAGATAAATTGTAATTGTCTGTTACAATGTGCAGTTTTTCTCGACAGAAAAAAAAAAGAGAGTAATTTAGAGATATTTAGTGTGTGTATGTGTGGTTAAAAGCCTGTATATAGTGTTTGAGTGGAGAATAAAGGTTCTAAAGGCTATGCAATTAAAACATGAAACTGTAAGATGAAAAAAGTATTTTTATTCTCGATATGAAAGTCAACTTCCACTCGAACTGATTCAGTATAGGTTTTCTTAAGTTTACGGACAAAATCTAGCACATCTACATTATAAAAAAATAGTGTATACGAATATCACTGGGACAATCATATTATAATTCACCCAGCATTTCTGGTGGAAATGACGTTACATTAAATTTGTAGTGTATTAGGTAAAAAGTTTCATTTTTTGCGAACGACTTATATGTAACGTTTACTGACTATTTGCTAAATTTCGTGTAAATTAAGAGTTATAGTAGATATAGTTTCATACTTAAGTTCCGCCTCCAAAGCTTGTTTTTGCCTTTTGTTGATATCAATATAATTGACAGTGACGCTATTGGTCGCATGTACTTCTCACAACTGTATCAAGGTTTCAGTTCGTTATCAATAATACGTGGGTTTGTTTGCGGAAAACCACAGATTAACTGATATGGTCAGTACTAAATTGTTGAATATTAGACTTTCAGTGGTGATTCAACAATGGTGTGGAAAGATGTCAGTATGAATTAAAACATAAACCTGATTGTACTTCTGAAAAGCAGATTTAATGACTATAATATATTAACAAGGCTTTATATTCAACTGTATACGATCTTTCACACCTGCAACATGACTACACTGGCTCAATGCTGTACAACACCCGGTGTCAAATTATTAGGATTATGGTGGATACTTGAAAAAAAAAACATAAAACCATTGGGTTATGCACCAGTTGACCAGAAGTCCTGGTCAAAGTCAGATCACCGTTGGGAACTTCTTGGACGCCAATACTTTATCAAACGTTATGTTTCACAAATATCGACATTGTATTAACGTCAACGGTGGGTAAAGTTATTTTCTTTACTGAATATATATACTTTTCTCCAAATGCGACTCTCTCTTAGCGAAACTGTTTCGGTCAAACCCTAAGTTTCAGTTTGGTCATACTAATGTTGCCCGGGCTATAACCACTGTCAATGAAACCGATTCATAAACTATGTTCAGTGAATAAACAGTGATCCTAATACACCGTAATGTTCAGCTCTATTGGTTTATTTGGTTATATAAAAATGTTATAAAACATTAACCCAATCATTTTTGGTGTATTTTGTATTTTATGGCACATCTACATTAAAAAAAGTATATGCGAATATCACTGGGACAATTATATTATAATTCACCCAACATTTCTGGTGGAAATGACGTTACACTAAATTTTTCTAGTGTATTTGTTTATGCTATTTATTGCAAAGTCTGTGGTTCGGCTATATAGAAACATTTCTTTTAAATTATTAAACAAAAACTTTATCAAAAATAAAGATTGCGCCACATAAGTAAAAACATTATTCATGCCGATCTTCTGAACACACATTTTAGGCTTACACTACAAACAAGGTTCCAAGGGGAGTTTCTTCCCTCTCTCTCTTACATAATATCAGATGAAACGAACTGTGGGCTACAAGTTAAACCTCCAACAGCTCACTAATACATGTATTTGTATATTTACAATTCTAACTAATATTTAAACCTACACGTTAAACAAAACAAAACAAAAAAGACAGATTTAATGAAAAACAACAGCAAAAGAAAAGCCAGGAGGTAGTGAAATTCAGGGTTCGAACAACAAAAACAAGGAAAAAATTTTAACTGAAAACGGAAACACAGAGAATTGACTTCAATCAGAAAGAACGTCAAACTGAAAGACAAGTATTCGACCCACTTTTGACTGAAAATATTATAAAAGTATACCAACAGGATTGGCTGTATTTAGAAAACCACAAGACAGCAAGGACTATATAAACACAATATTGCTGAACGAAATAACGATATATAAACATGTTGTTGTTCTCGATCGAATACATGCCGCTAGATACTTTAATACGGTATTCCAATCTTACGACTTTCTATTTCCCCTTTTTTACGGCATAAAAACACTGCAGTTTTTACACATCTTGATAGAAACAGTTTCTTCTAACCCAAGTAGAACAATTTTAATTTCACCGTTTTCATTTTTTTTATTACCTTACAAGAACCCTCGTTTTTTGTTATATCGTGTTTCTCCCAACTACGAGATTTTGATAACGTGGTTTTGATTATGAACGGCGTATGTTTCATGATTTATTCATATTCCTTCCTTCAGCTAGCTACAAAATGTCAAACTCCTTCATTCAAAATTCAAATATTTTCACTGGTATTTGAAATTCCTTCCTATTCCAAGTTCATTGGGTGGGTTTGTGTCTGCATTTTATTTTTGAATGATGAATTTTGTAAGGTTTATGTTCGAGCCTATGCTATATATATATATATATATATATATATATTATACATTCACACACAAGCACACGAATTGATGTCCAGTTGCAAGAGATGCCTACAGTGTATGTCGTATTACCGTTATTAATCTCGGGATATTATGTGAATTTTTGGTGGTAATTATTTCACCACACTTTCTTTACTTACACGAATAAAATTAAATTTGGAATACCAAAATCGTAAATATGGTGTACAAAATAAGATAGAAAAAACAACAACGTTTATTACCATTGTAAACACGTGGAACATAACTACAACAAGAAATGTGTCTCAAACCAAAAAGAAAACGTCTGTGATATAACATGACTAAATTATTATTTTTTGAACTGCTACAGACGTTTTGCATTGAAATACATTTGTTTTGTGAATTTTAATACAAGAGACAACATGAAACGATTTCGTTTTCAGTTTAAACACCAGTGTTCATGATTTTGTAAACATCATATTGAATTATTACCTTTTGCCTAAGAAAAAAGAAAATTTTTATTTTCTAGAAACAAAGTCATACTTAGTTAATATTCATAACTTTATCAAATTAAATATATTTTACATTACTTGTGGTTTTTGTTATATGGAATATGTTTGTTTTAGAGTTTATCTATACTTTTAAATATTCATTAATATGGAATATTGTAAAATAAATGCTTATAATGGTTTCGTTTTTGCAAATTTGCGCATAAATGCAAAATAAATGATTGACAAAACGGGTACTTTCAAACCATTAAAGTTTGAACAAGGCTTATATCTTCCTGACGTGTGTGGATTCACGTATGAAAACTAGACAATTTAATTCCAGATAGTTTATTTTCGAGTATTGTGTTTTAGCATCCTTTACTCACCACAGTAAATCTATATTTATATAGGTATTTGGAGAATATAAAAGATTAACACCACCGATTTATTCTTATAAATTACTAAATATACAAACTGTTTAAAGAAATGTAATTTTTTTCTCTCATCACCAAAATTGTGATTTTTCGGAGATAAAATAGCGTGAAGTCCAATCTATGGATTTACTCGCTACAATTATGATAGTGAAGAAAAAAACAATCGTCGTTAAACCGCTGATACGATGAATCGTAGAAAAAAAAACAACAAATTAGTTGCATCAATATTACATATTATTCAAATCTATGTATATAAAGCAGAGATGTTGGCCGCCTGTCTGGCGTCACAACTTGTGAGGAGCTGGCGGAACCAATTCCAATGACATATAGTAAAGGAACTCAAGTGGACCATTAAAGATAGAGCAGTTCGAGTTTGGAAGCCACTTCAATTATATCGCTTTAAAGTGAAGTATGTGAAGCAGACGCCAAGCGAAAATCAAGTTAAATGTCGAGTAGCATGTGAACCTTCGCATCGAACGAATATTCATGTGCCACAGTTCAAAACTCTCGAAAAGTCTGGCCCATGCCCCCATTTATAACACTACTTTTTAAGCTCGGCACGTATGCTATTACTTTTACAAATTAAATGTTCATCGTGATTAATAACGACAACTTAAACAAAAGACCATGGGCGCCCATAGAAATATTTTCAGGATGGGGGCAAAACATGTATGTAGGGAATCAGCTTTTACGGTATAAGTCAACAGACAAAAAAAAAGAAAAACGTATTATATGTGCTTAAACGCAAACACAAATTTAGAGTTATAATAATAATTACAAAAAATATTCAGTTTAACTACAATGTGAAATTAACATCACAATATGTGCATTTTTTTTGTAAAATGTAAGGGGAGGCAAATGCCTCTTCCTGCGGACGTCCATGCAATAGACCTCTTATCGTTTTGCGATTCGCCATTAACCACGGTTACTGGTGAGGATTAAATTTTCAGTAAGAAATAGTGAAAGATATAGACTGAGTTCTAGATTACATTCTCATCGAATTTCACAATTTGATTACGATATAAAATAAATTAAGGAGCCTGATTATGTTACTGGTCCCAGTAATTTATGTTTATAATCTTATAGGTAGCAACTTTGAGCAATGGAAGAAGACGAGTATATACTATCTAACAATATATATACACTTCAAGTTTCTAAGTTTATTTGTAAATTTTTAACATCTCCATCTGAAGCATATAGATGAACAAAAAGACAATTCGTATCTCAAAAGTTACAAGCATTTTTTTTTTACAAAATACCTGAGATAATTTATTTTGAGACATAAAATATGTTTTAAACGGAAATATTAAACAGTCTGAATGCAAAACACTCATACTTAAACATTGATGTTTTGATTTAGGACGCAAAATATGGTTTAGTAAATGTTTTGAAAGTCTCAACTCAAAAGAAAGAAAAAATTTTTAAAGTGATAAAAAAATCAAATTTTACTTTGTGTCTGAAGTCTAAACCCGAGACATTTCAATATATATTGTATAACTATGCTTGAAAGAGGAGGGTGGAAAGACAGGACAGAGAAACTACTGGAACAAGGTAAAAAATTTCGAACACTCAAGTTATCTACTGATATGAGCAACACACTATTTGTATAAAATGGTTCTGAACTGTGGAAGTACACGTAGCCACAAAGAATAAAAAGTTTTTGTGACAGGTTTACCTGTATTAAAAGCAGAACAAATTTATTTATTTCAAGGTGGCAGCAGTAAACAAGTGCATAAACACACACACACACACACACACACCAAAAAACATTCAGAAGTGCAACTAGACTTCAACGTAAAACCCATACATACCTTATGAATAGGCGTTCCCCAAAAGTCATTCCAAAAAAGGTTGACAAAAGGCGTCTCGGGTCTCAGGTCCCGATTGTCTTTAACTGCTGACACGTCGTCGAAAACAAACCCACAACCTAACGAGTTCAAATAGCACACAGATGCCAATACTGCAACTGCTACATAATATCCGGTCTGTATCTGGTTCATCATTCCTCCCTGGAATCAAAGAAACTCTCCTTTTTCAACTTGTAAAAAAGTATAAGCTATTGTTTCAGACCTATGATGAAAACTCGCTTTTGAGAATTATTTTAGAAATTGATAATAGAGAAATAGGTATTCAACACATATTGAATAAAAACAAATTTAAAGTGTTATGAACCGAGTTCGTTAATTATAAAACCTTAAAATTAGTTCAAACATAAATCAAGGAAAAATGAATTAACTTGATGTTTAAAACTCCCCAGTACAGTTTTAAATAAAATCTGTATTGTCTTTTAAAAAAGTATTAAAACACTTTGACGTTAATAAATTGAACAAATAGTAGACAAATTATTTCAAACGAAATCAAACAAACGTCATTAATAAAATAAATAGCTACTAATCAATGTTTTAGCTTACCGGTTTTAAATCTTGCAGCCTTTAATTCGTTAAACCAACAAAACAATAACAGTGTACAAGAAAGTAGTGCACATAAATCGGATTCAACGTCGTTGTCAGAATCAGCCATACGATTAGGAAGTAAATGTTCCGCTTTTGTCTTCCCTTGAGGTTTTGTTTCATAAATTTGAATACCTTCTGGAACCACACACTTAACGTTGAGCTAACAAAAGCCTGTTTTAGACAATGTAAATTTCCGAGCCTGGAATATATCAGTTATTGTACGGTGATAATAAACCTGCACATTAAAATAGGTTGATATACCCATAAATTCAATTTTCCTCGTACTTCTGGTCCTGGACAGAAAACTACAGTCTACAAAGCACATCCTTTGACCTACAAAGATCACGCATGATATACGCGCTCTCTTCACCACTCTTAACTTAATTAATTTGACTATTCACAAAGTTAGCATGACGACTTTAAATCTTGTTCCTTCAGGTAATCATAGTTACATAATCAAACAGATTAAACTTAATACAACCATATTCGAATAAATCCACTCATCTTTAAATGTAATTATCTTTTGATAAACCCTCTAGATTATTATTAAAAGTAAATATCATCTCTCTCTTGAACACATCAAAATGGGATTTCAAAAGATGAGCTAGAAATAAAAAGCGATAGAGTATAAAGCAACGAATGCGTTAAGTTCCTAAAAAAAAGACTAAGATGGTTTAACTATACACAAATTTATATAATCGTATATATGCGTTCTCCATTTCGACTCTTTTTAAAGAGTTGAAAACGAAATTAAAATTCCAATGCGGTACATCAAAACGTTTCTGGTAACAAAAATAAGAATATTATAAATGCGCTTAAAAATGTGAATTCTTAAAGATGGCAATAATAGTAAAGACAAGTTATTGTTGTCTTCAGTGTTTGTTTGTTTTTGAATTTCGTGCAAAGCTACACGAGGGCTATCTGCGCTAGCCGTCCCTAATTTAGCAGTAAAATACAAGAGGGAAAGCAGCTAGTCATCACCACCCACTGCCAACGAATAGTGGGATTGACTGTCACTTTATAACGCCCCCACGGCTGAAAAGACGAGCATGTTTGGTGGGACGAGAATTCGAACTCACGACCCTCAGATTACGAGACAAGCGCCTAAGCCGCCTGGCCATGCCGCACCCCCCTTTAGTGTAAATACAAGTATTATTGTTTTGTAATCAAACTGTCAAGCAATGTTTAGCAAACATACAATTCTTGAATGTATTTGAAAAACATCGTAAACGTGTTTCTCCATAACCTGACTAATGCCTAGATTTTACGAAAAATGCATCTGTTAATATTCTCAGAAGCGATAGATTAGCAATAACAACTATTTGGCTATGACTCGTTTTCTTGTATTCTCGTGTTAATAGTAAGTTTATCTAACCCAAATTAATTGTGTATAATATATTATACAAGATACTTATAAACCTCAAACTGACTGGGTATATATTATACTACGAATCTCAAGCCTGACTTCTGGAATGGAAAATTCAAAGTTATATAAATCATTTAACCCATTCCAGAACATGAAAAAATGGTTGACTATAATTCTTAGAGCGCACGACTTTAAAAATCTCTGAAGAGGGAAGATTACATTCACTTCATTATTTTTTTCAATATCAAAAATCATTTGTCTAAGCCAAGCTAAGCTAACTTCTGTATAGTGACACCGTGGTGATCGAGTTCAATGTTCATACTTAGTAACCTATATAATTACCTACAACTAACTGCTAGATATTAATACTTTAATTAGTTACTAATTAACATAGAATTAGTTCATATCTTAACTTTAGTCTGCTAATTTACTGATGTTCTCAGAATTTTGCCCAAAGCTACTCGAGGGCTATCCGCACTAGTCATACCTAACTTTAAAGTGATATGCTAGAGGGAAGGCAGCTGGCTAACACCAACAACCGTTGAGATTTGACCGTCACTCGTACAACGCACTCACAACCCTAGAGTGCGGAATGCATTTTTTTTCTTAGTGGTAACGGGGCTCGAACCACGAAACTTTGGATCCAAAAATGGCACTCTAACCACTTGGCTGCACTTAGTCCGAACTTTAAACTAATGTGATTTTTTAAAATATTGAAACTACTAAAGCTATCTGCCACCGTCCCTAACTTTGACCTGCCGACCACGGGGAAGACATCTAAATGACAGCGCCCATTGCCAACTCCTTAAAAATTAATAATGTGACTGACTGACATATTATAACACATACACACACAACTGAAAGGGCATTTTCGGCACCGGGTTTCTATCCCGCAAGTCGAGTGTCCTAGCCACCAGGCCAAATGTCAGAGATAAAACGTTAAAACTTTAATACTGAAATAGTTTATGTCGAGAAGCATAGTAACTAACATGTTTGAAACTACCGAACATAGTAACAAAATATTCCTTTGTTTCATTTTTTTTTCCATAGAATTTTCACAGCTGTGTCTCAAGAAGAGTAACAAACAGGAATATAGTTCCAAATACTGAATAGTTGTTCTAGTCAAATATACTAACTCGCCTTTCTGCATATGAACAAACAACAACAACAAAAGACGCGGCCTTCCGCCTTCCTCACTATACACCGGCGTGCTACGTTGAAAAACACACATCATTACACACTATACAAGACCGCATTTCTAAACTCGCCGTCAAATACTACAAAAAAGCCACCCACCGAAATTCACTCACAGCCGAATTTCCTAAAATTGCCGCCACCCCCAAACAATTGTACAAATACCTATCCCCATACAACATGATACATAACACCACTACCACACCTCCATGATCAACAAAACTACTCATAACATATTATATTCTTTGCTTAATCATTTCACTGTTCAGTATCTTTCCAGGTATTCAACCCGTCACTAGATCTTCACCTAGGCACTAGTCGGGCTTCTATTTGGTCCCGACTAGTGAAAGTGGGTTTTCTCGGGGTACTCCTCTTCCCCACCCCCACATCAAATTCTTTGGCATTGGATCTATAGATCCCAGCCTTGGCACTTGGATCCACTGATCCCCGCCAAACCCTGTAAAGGCCCGTTTGCTCCATTTTGTTTCGATAACTTGTCAAAAACGGCTGCCGACTTGCTCCTTCTTCAAAGATCAACCGGCCCCTGCTACGCCTTGGACTTGCCTTCACTTCTGCCTACTTGCCTCACCATCATACGTATATATATACGGGAATATATATATGTGTAATTTTTTAAAATTAATTAATTAATTATTATTACTTCTTCTTCTCCCATACGGCTCATTATTC